GAGAGAGAGAGAGAGAGAGAGAGAGAGAGAGAGAGAGAGAGAGAGAGAGAGAGAGAGAGATTAGTAATAGTTACATTTGTGTACCATTCAGCCACATGGACTGGGTTCTTTGTTTAGCTGCCAGTCTAAGCCATCATTCTCTGTCTTTCAAGCAACCCAGCACTCCTCAATGCGCTTCCACCCACCTTTGGCTATTGATTGATTCTCTCGAATTGTGCTATTGGACAAGCCCCAAGCTTTGCAACCCCCTCCCCTGTGGGGGCTCGCACACTCTGTGCTTCCCATAGGCAGGGGTGGTAGGGTCTGTGTTATCTGTACTCTCCAGAAGGCCGGGTGATTCCCTCGACCTTTGCGCCTGCCGCTCCTTCTGCTCCTTCTGCTCCTTCTGCTTGCTAGCACCTTTCCTTCCCCCCCAGCTGATCCTTCTCCTTTGGCCACAACTGCCTCTCAGAGTCCTCTCCGTCCCACAGATCTGGAGAGTTGGGGCTGCTGATATGTCAATAACCCCCCTTATATACACCTTTTTGCTTTCGAAAAAAAATAATCTGAAATGTGAATTTGAAACACAACCTCCTTATTGTTGTGCCTTTCTACGTCCATTTACGATGTGATTTCTCCAGGTGCCATGTTGTACCACTGCCCCGCTTACCACCGCCAGAGGTTGGGACACTGGAACTCCATCAGCGGGCCCATTTGAATCCCCTGTAGCCCCTTTTTTGGTCAAAGCATGTGTGCATCTCGTCACCCATTCCTTCCCCCTCCCCCTCCCCCTCCCCCTTCCCATCCGTTTGCCGCTAGATTCTGTTGCTGCTGTCCCTACTCACTTCTACACTCCCTGTTCTCTCCCTCCACCCCTGCTTTCTTTCTCTGTGCCAGGTACCGCATTTGTGGCTCCCTCTGTCGATTGCTCTGGTACCTCTTGGGCTTTTTCCTCTTGCATTATTTCCATCTTCACGGGCATTGTCAAATCGGCAATCGGCAGCGTTATCCATTGCTTGCTGACGTTTTCACTCTTGTCTTGATTCTCTAGCACACATTTTAGGAGATGGGTATGGTAATTTAGCAGACTGGATCTGTGCCCCACACTGATCATTGTGATCCCACTGTTTATGACCTCATTATACAGATGAGCCTGCAGAAAAGAATGCGAGCAAAAACTTAGTGTCAGGACATTGATTCTTTTTTTTGTTGTTGTTGAAAGAACTAAAAGCTGAAATGAACCAAGTGCCAATCAACGTCCAACCTCAAAAGTGGGCAAAGGACATTCACATGAGAGTTCACAAGAGGGAAGCCGAGCCAAGATTCAATCAACGCAAGAAGAAACTGTCACCAAATTATTATCATGATACAAATAAATCGTTTATGTCACCAGCGGGCTCTGCCACTTACATACACAGCATCTCAACCTCAGCTATGGATCTACTCTTCCTCA